CCCCTCCTCCTCCTCCTCCTCCTCCTCCTCCTCCTCCTCCTCCTCCTCCTCCTCCTCCTCCTCCTCCTCCCCCCCTCGCCCTCCCCCCATCCGCCTCTTCCTCCCTACGAATTACTCAGCTCAGCTGTGCTTCTTTGGGGTTCCAATGGGCTCTGCCAGGAATGCACCGCGCTGGTTCGCGCGCGCGGGGGTGTTTGTAGTCGCAAGCTTAGCCAGTGGCTTTGTTGTGACGGACCGTGGTTGTGCTCGAGGGAGGGGTAGGGAGGGAGGGAGGGAGGGAGGGAGGGAGGGAGGGAGGGAGGGAGGGAGGGAGGGAGGGAGGCAGGAGGACGACAGCGTCGCCCAGGATATGACCGAGGTTTCTCCAGGCCCCGCGCGCCGTCCAGGCACCCGCAGCATGTAGCCTAGCGTGCGTCACCGCCGTCAGTACGTCCACGATGACCTCATTCTTATGCTGGGCTGACTTGCGTGCGCGTCAGACCCATTCCTGCCATCCGTGTCGAAGGGATTTGGGAGGAGAGGGAGGTCCGGGGAGTAGCGGTATCGGTACCTCCTGGTTCCCCCAAGTCAGAGCACTGGACCCCCTCTTCCTACGCCTGTTTTCGAGCCGCACCGATCTGGGGCGGGCCACTGAGCGAGCATGCCCGTGGCGCTGCGCCCGATCGAGCAAGGCGGCCCTGGGGCAGAGCGCGGGCCGTCGTGTGGCAGACCTCGCAGGGGGCTGTGCAGAGAGCTCGGGCCGCAGAGGCCGCGGCGCAGGTCGGCCCTATGTGCCCGCCGTGGCAGAACTTGCCGCGCCGCCGTGGCGAAACCAGCAAGAGAGTCCCGAAACTGAGCGAACGTGGAGCGAGCATGGAGTGAACATGGAGCGAAGATGCCCGAGACTGAGCGATGCTCGAGCAGCGCTCGGACTTCAGGGGACCTCGCCGGCTCGACCTCGCCGGCTCGACCGCGACCTCGAGATCAGGAGGAAGAAAATCACACAGACACACGTAATCGTGGATTCCCAGGAAAACATGGGAACATGTGGGAAGTGGTTGGGGGGGGGGGAATACGCAAACCCAAATGATCTGGAAAAAGAGGGGGAATCCTGGGATTCGTGTGTATTTATCTATTTGCGTGTCCTTGGGCCCCTCGACGAGAGGCGCCGCGCCCCCGCCCGCCGCCTCTCCGCCCCAGGGGCCGCCCCGCGGTGGTGCCGATGCCGAGTTTGGCGATGGCGCCTGTCGTGGATAGCACCTCGACCTACACGACTGGCACCACACCCCTTTATGCCACACACACGCACACACACACACACCCCTGTCCTACCTCTGGTGGAGAGAGGCGCTTTGCCCCCGCCCGACGCCGCGCCGCCCTCGAGGCCGCCCAGCGGTGGTGCCGATGCCGAGTCTGGCGATGCCACCTATCGTGGATAGCATCTTGATCTACACGACTGGCACCACGCCCCTTTCTGTCACACAGCCCTTTCCTACCTCTGGCCCGGCATCGCTCGGACGTATGCATATAACGGGGGACCGGGTCCGGGGGCCCGGGGCCGGGACCTCGACCGCAAATGTGGGCTCCGGGGGGCCCGGAGGCTCGTCGGGGCTTGCCGGAGGCCTCCCTGGTCAGACAAGAGGGCCCCAGAAGCGCCCAAGACGGCCCAAGAAACTTCCAAGAGTCCTCCAAGAGGGCTCCGAGATGCTGAAGATGGCCTCCAGACGTCCAAGGACGCCCCCAAGAGGCCCCAAGAAGCCTCCAACATGCGTCCCAAGAGGGCCCCTAGACGCAAAAAATTGCCCATTCCCTTCGTAAAACGTACATTTTCAACAAAGTTGCCTTTTGGGCTTTCCGACGTTACAGGACGGCCCAAGAGGCGCCCAAGACCGCCCCAAGACGGCCCAAGAAGCTTCCAAGAGGGCCCCAGGACAGCCCAAGAGGGCCCCAAGACGGCCCAAGAGGCGCCCAAGATGGCCCAAGAGGGCCCCAAGACGGGCCCAAGAGGGGGCCCAGAGGGGGACCACGAACCGCAAGCTCGAGCCTTCCGCCCCAAGAGGCCGCCAGGAGGCCCCAAGGAGGCCCCTCAAGAGGCCCCAGGAGACCCCCAAGAGGCCCAAAGGAGGCCCCGAGAAGCCCCAAATCGGCCCCCCAAATGCTTCGAACCTGCTTCCAGGAGGCCCCCGACAGGTTCAGAGGCTCCCAAGAAGCTACGTCAAACTCCCAGCGAGCGGCCGGACGAGGCCCCCCAAAAAATCCCAAGAGGGTTCCAGTATTTGTATCCTTCAGCGCTCTCTGGCCTTCTTTCCCCTGCCCCCTTCCCTGCGACTTTCGTTGACTCAAGCTCGCCTCCTCTCCATTTCCTCTCTCTGCCTCTCTATCTCTCTCTCTGTCTTCTTCTCTCTCTCTCTCTCTCCATTTTTTTTTTTTTGTTTTCTCTCTCTCTCTCTCTCCTTCGCTCTCTGTCTGTCTGTCTCTCTCTCTCTCTCCCTCTCTTTCTCTCTCTTTCTCTTTCTTCCTTTCAGATTCCGTGTCCTTGCGACCTTCTGCAGTCCCCGACGTCGCCACGGCTGGATCCGCTCGAGCGTGTCTTGTGATGTGCGGCGGTGCGAAGCCCGTCCCACTGATCAAGGCACAGGTACGAAATGATGGGTCCATCATTTCTTGCCTTCCCATGTGCGTTTTCCCAATCGATTCCTGGGCCCGAGGTCGCAAAAATTACGACGTCGGAGGTCTGGGGAGGCGGGAAGCACGACCTGGACCTCCGACGTCTTGGAAAAATCACGACGGCGGTTTCGGTCAATTTTCGGCCTCCGGGGCCCCTCGCAGGGTCCCGGGACCGTCAGAAAACGACTCAGGATGAAAAAAAAAAACATCCCCAGGAAGTCGTCGAGAGGTCCAGGGGCCGCGCACAGAAAGCATCACGACATCGGACGTCCAGAGAGGAGGTAGGAACACGAGGAGGAGGGAGCCCAGACCTCCTGGCGACGCAACACCAAATACAACAAAAGCTTCCCCGCGACTTCCCCCAGAGACTCTAACTACAGAAACTCCTTTCGTATTCCGGCCAGAAGCATCCAGAAACGATGTACATTAGCCCTGGCGGGGGGAGTGATGGCGATGGTGATGTTCATGATGACGACGGTGACGATCCTAGCTAGAACCTAAGCGCGCGCGAAGCGCGCGCGTGGTTCTAGTGTACATATTTTCTCGGCGAGAGCCATCGGGCACCATCCTGGACCGTCACGCAACAAACAAAACTCGCACGAAGCCGAACCATGCACGGGAAAGGGACGTCCGAGCGACGGCAGGCTGGAGCGAGGCGCCTCGCCCCCGCCCGACGCCGCGCCGCCCTCGAGGCCGCCCCGCGGCGGCGGCCCCGGGCGCGCCCCTCCCCCACGCCGCCGCCGCAGGGCGGCCGGCGGCCGCCTCCCCCCCCGCCTCGGGGGGCCCTGCGCCGCGGGCTGGGCCCCATCGCGGAGGTCTTAAGGTAGGGTCCTGAGGGAGGGGGGCCTAAGGTTAAGTCGGGCCTGTCCCTCTACAGGGGGAAAATTCAAGAATAGTCAAACCATAGAAAAAACAATATTTATTTTTAGTATTTGGGGGGATTTGGGGGATATTTTTTTATTTTTCGCCCAAAATCCGGCTGTAGGGGGACAGGCCCGACCTAAGCCTAAGGATAGAACTCTGGGCCTCCTAGATGTATCGGCGATGTATCTGCGAGGGGGGCCCAGGGATAGGATCGCAGGCCTAGAGGTTGACACGAACACCAAGATCGGCGGTGTGCCTCCACCGAGGGAGGAAGATCCCGCGCGCGCCACGCGCAGAGGGGGGTGGCGGCAGGTGGGAGGGCGTCTTAGAAGCACCCCTGCCTCTCAGAAGGCGCGGGCTTTCTCTGTAGATGCAAGGCCGGCGCCTTCTAAGAAGCAGCCTCCTTCTAAGAAGCCCTCCCCCTCCCCCCACCCCCTGCGCGCGCCGCCAAGATAGGACGGGCTCCGAGCGTAAGTTCACGTTGTGTGGGGCGCCTCGTCCCTGGGACCCCATCAGGGGTCCTGAGGGATGTGGGCCTAAGGATACAGTGGGGGCGCGCATCAAGAAACCATGTGCTTTTCGTCGGGGTATCCTGGGTTTCTTGGCTCCACGCGCTGCGCGGCGACTTCCCGCGGCCGTTGAAGGAGCTGCTGCGTTCAGGGTGCTCCAGGTTTCCCCTCCGGTGCACTTCGCGCGCTGGTTTTCAGGGTTGGGTTTCTTGCCAGGGTTTCTGGCAGCCGCGCCTGCACTGTGGGAAGGGATCCGAGCGTGAGTTCACATAGTATGGGGCGCCTCGTCCCTGGGACACCATCAGGGGTCGACCTAAACGGTGTTTGGGCGATTTCGTGGGCCGTTTTTGTTTCGATTTCGTTTGGCAGCAGACAGGCGGATCGAAGACAATACGAGGGAAACCGAAACCAAAACGAAAACGAATTACACCAGGGAGAAAAACGCAATCAGTGGATGGTTTTCGCTGAGAAGATCGACCAGGAACCCGGGAGCCCTGGAACCCAGAACCCACCGAAATCGGCCCGGAACCAATACTTGGGAACCCGGGAACCCGGAACCGGGAACCCAGGGACCCAGCCTGCTACCAACATCGGCGGGAAACTCTCGCCAAATCCTTCAGCTTCCGCCAGGATCCCTTCAGTGCAAGCACTGATTGGGGAACTGTTCAGGTCAATCCCTCGACCCCACCTCTCAGCACCCCATCAGGGCGCCTCGTCCCTGGGACCCCATCAGGGGTCGACCTAAACGGTGTTTGGGCGACTTCGTGGGCCGTTTCTGCTTCGATCTCGTTTGGCAGCAGGAAGGCGGACCGATGACGAAACGAGGGAACACGAGGCCAAAGCGAGAATGCGACGCTGCTCAGACCGATCCCTGGACCCCACCTCTCAGGACCCTGCCTTTGAACCACCGACCCGTGAGCTGAGCGTCGCGCCCGCCGCGCGGGGCGGCCGGCGCGGGCGGAGGCCGCCGGGCGCGCGGGCGCGCCCCGCCGCGCCCGCGCCGCGGGGCTCTCCGCCCAGCGGGCGGCGCCGGCCGCCGCGGGCGGGCGCGTGCCGCGTGCAGGCGCCCCGCGGGGGCCGCCCGGGCGCGCGCGATCGCTCCGCGCCGGCCGCGGGCCTTCCAGCGGAGGCCTCCTACAGGTGGGGTCCGAGCAGATGGGGTCGGGGGGTCGCGCCGCGTGGCCGATGCATCGGCGATGCGGCTCGACGTGGAGCGCGACTTTCTCCACGCCGACGTCGTCGGTGCATCGCCGACGTCGACGACGCATCGCCGGTCCATCTACTCCGACCCCATCTAGGAGGCCTCTATCACAGTGGAGGCTCGTGCCAAGAACCACCCTGCTTGCCTCCAGCTCCAGGGTGCCCTGGGTTTCTTGGGTTTCGATGGTTTTGCGATGGAAGGCGTGCCGTTCCCACGCGAAGAAGCAATGGACGTCCTGGGGTCTCAGGGTTGGGTTTCTTGTGGAAGGTTTCTTGTGGTCGGGCCCCTACTGTAGCACCCTTGCCCTTGGCATCGCTCGGGCATGGAAGAGCATCCTGGATCATTGAGGAAAATGCAGACGCATGAGATCGAAACGAATTCACGGGGAATGGACGTCCGCGCGACGACCTGAGACATATCCCTATCCCTATGTTTGGCAACACCGTATCTCGGTGCCGCTCTCAAGGGTCCTCTCAGTTTTCGAGGGCACATCCCCAAAGTCGTCATCGCCTTGGGATTGCCGATCTTGCCGATCTTGGGAATAGGGGTGAGTTCGAGGCTGGTCGACCCTCCCCAGGGACCCAACGTGTTGACAAGATCAAGACGGAGGTGTTCTTCGCCGGGTGGGCCTGCAGATTTCTCGGAGGTCCGCGCGGACTTCTTGCCCTTGCGTGGGGCCCCCTGGCCGCGCGTCTGGCGCAGTCCCTTGCCGCGCCTCTGGCGCTGCCTGGGAGGGGGTCCAGCGCCAGTCCAACCTCCGAGAAGTGTTTTTTTTGTTCATGTGTTTTGTTTTTCGGTCGCGTCGCGTCGCGTTTCTGTTTTCTGTTTCTCGTTCGCGTCGCGTCGCGTTTTGTTCTTCTATGGACACCCTCGCGCCGCGAGAAGGATCCCGATGCGTGGCTTCTGGCAGTCGTCGGCCTCTGCAGGCCCCCCGGCCCCCAGCCGGGCCTCATGGGGCCGGCAGGGAGGCGACTCGGGGCGAGGTCCCGACCTCTGGGGAGCCACGCCTCGGAATGGTGAGGATCGTCCGGCAGGGCGCGCGTGAGAATTCGGTGACAGGGCTGGACCTAAACAGTGTTTCTGCCGATTTCGTGGGCCGTTTTCGTTTCGACTTCGTTCTGCGGTAAGGGCGGATTCGGGACAAGAGCGAGGGAAAACGAAAACAACACGGACACGACAACCGTTCAGGTTCAGCCCTGTTCTGTGAGGATCTGCAAGAACGGACGGTGGCAGCAAGGAAGCTGGCGTGCTGCCGCGCGCGCAGCGGCCCCGCGCAGGGAGCGCTTCGGCGCTTGCCGCGACCCTGTGGAGCCACGCTTCTCTTGCACAAGATCAGGAAGAACAAAAACACACACAGACACAATTTATCGTCAATTCCCTAGAAAATATGGGGAAATATGGGAAGTGGGCTTGTTTTGAGTCATAGATTGTCCTCTCCTGGGGGCCAGAATTCAGAGCATCTCTCAAGTGAAATGCTTGTTTTCACGCGCCCAGGTCTTGAGGATGTCTCGAGCGAGACGCTTGGTTTCACGCCTCCAGGTTGCCCAGACAGATGTCTAGCATGAGGATATGTTGAGGATGTCTCGAACCAGAGGCTTGTTTTCCCGTGTCCAGGTCGCCCAGGCGGATGTCTAGCATGAGGATGTGTCGAAGAAGTCTCGATCGAGACGCTTGTTTGCATGTGTCCAGGTTGCCCAGGCGGATGTCTAGCATGAGGATGTGCTGAGAACGTCTTGAGCGAAACGCGTGTTTTCACGTGTCCAGGTCGCCCAGGCACAGCACAGCCCTCGGCACGGTACACCAATATCGATACCCTTAGCATTGCAGCCTGGCATGTTGTCTGGCACGTTCCGCGGAGCGTCCCGTGGCGAGTCCCCCTGGCACGTCGCGCGGTGCACGTCTATTGGCACGTTCCGTAGCGCGTCCCCTTGGCACGTCCCGCGGTGCGTGCCCATGGCACGTCCCCTGGCACGTCGCCTGGCGCGTCCCTTGGGACGTTCCGCGGCGCGTCTTCCTGGCATGTCCCCTCTGTCGATTAGTTCTGGGGCAGCTACCATCTGCTCAGGCGGCTCGACCTTCAGATTCAGATCAGTTCGATCAGGACTCGGATGCAAAGAGGACTCAATCCACAACGCTATATATAGAGCACAATCGCGGCATGGCACATCGCAGTTCAGAACGGCGTAGCACAGCACAGCCCTCGGCACAGTACATCAAGATCGATACACTCAGCATTGCGTTTGCCCGTCGCCCAACCAGGTGTCTTTGAAGCGTTGCCATGCCTCACATTTCCATATTCCTTTCCGGGTTCGTGGGTCGATCCTGTTCTGAAGATTCCCCCTGTAGAGGGACAGGCCCGACTTGACACGAGAGCCGCGACGCCGGGCGCCCGGGGGGGGGCCCTGCCCGAGGTGCCCCCTGCTGCCCAGGACGGCCTCCGGAGCTCGAGCGGGGGATCGGCTGCAGAATCGCCCCGCCCCAGACTTGAGATCCGCCCGCCGGATCTAGAGGCACAGCCGCACGATGCCCCGTAGATCTACGCACACTCTACGCGCTTCTCGTAGATATATATATATATATATTCATGTATATTTATACCTATATATGTACACATATACACATATATACACATATTTATATATCTATCTATATGTACGGCGGGGAAAAAAGCTTTGGAGTGAATCAATCACGTAGCCGATCCCCTATTCGAGGAGCACCCCTCGCGCGGCCCCGCGGATCCCAGGGTCCGGGCCTCCCGGACTGGGGCCGGAGCTGGATGGGGGGCGAGGGGCCGGCAGCGCACCGCCGGTGCGTGGCCGATGCGTCTCGGTGTGGAGCCCGAGCTTCTCCTCGGGCGAAGAGAACTATACACATGCACCGGTCCTGGCACGGCCCATACTTGACCCAGGATCGGTGCGTATACCTTCCTGGTCAAGGTAGAGGGCGTATGCACCGATCCTGGGCTCACCATGAGCCTGGCCAGAATCGGTGTATGTGCATAGTTCTCTTCCTTCTAACTCCACGCCGGCGGCGCCGACGCGTCGGCAACGCATCGGCGCTGCGTCGCCGATGCGGCGCGGCCCTGCTCGGACCCCACGCAGGAGGCCTCCGCCGCAGGGGCTCTATGACTGTATGGGACGGCGCGGGCCGCTGTGGGCCTGCCTGCCGCGTGTCCCAGCGCGTGGTGCCAAGCATGACAGAGCGTGTTTTTTGTTGTTGTTCTCTCCCCCTTTTGGTGTTCAGTCGGGCATGCCCCTCTACAGGAGGAATGATTAAAAATGGTAAAACATATGGGGGCCCTTTTTTATAGTTCAAAAACTTGTACAACAACAAAACAATAAAACACAATTGAGTATTATTCGAATGTGCTTTGCGTAACTATTTCCTAGTTTTCGTCGAAAATCCGTTTTTAGGAGGACGTGTCCGCCTTAATTTTGGTGGCCTTTGCCGGAGCCCAGGGGTCCCCCCAAACCAACTCGGGACCCTCGTCTCGTGCAAGGGCTCGAGGCCTCCTGGGGGCCACGCCGGGCAACTAAAACACACCTTCGAAGGTCTGGGCAGCACGGGCGTCGGGTCAGGATACCCGCAGCAGGGTTCCGTCGCTTCGTCGAACTCCCCTCCATGGCCATTTCGCACTTCTCCATTTGGACTGGAGCTGGATCTATCCATATAGTTATGTATGTATGTATGTATGCATGCATGCATGCATGCATGCGTGCATGTATGTTTGTTTGTTTGTTTGTATGTATGTATGTATGTATGTATATACATGTAGATCGAAGTCGGGAGGAGGAGGCCGAGGAGGGGCTATGCCCATCCAATGGAACGAGGCAGCCCCCCCTCGCAATCCCTATTTCAGGGGGGAGGCGCGGCCACGGAGCATCATATATATATATATATATGAAGGTATGCTCACTTCTCCATCAGCGGCCCCTCCAACCGCTCAAAGCACGACGCCGCAGAATCGGTCGATCCACGCAGCTCCATAATAATAATCATCACATAATAGTAAGAAACGGCTGTTTCCCAAGCCAAGGCAGCACACACCACAAGACTACACGGGGGGCTTCCCCTCGCAGGCGGCGCGCTCATTGAGTAAGGAATCCTCAGTATTGCTTTTTTGCCTGATTGTGTCTCCCTTTAGTCAGGACTCCTGTGTCAGGATGTTAATCGTACGGGGTTGTAGTAATACGTGTTCTGAGCAAGGCTCTATGCCAGTAGGGAGTTTATTGAAAAGGATGCCTTCATCAAAGGGATCCTTGGTACGGATTCGTTGAACACGGACCCCCCAGGAAGGATGCCTTGAGTAAGCCGTTCGTCAGCCAGAATCACAGGCTAACCAATTGGCTGTGCCACAACCAAAGCAGATGAGCGAAGCGATTGTGCAGCTTCGTGAAGCGACCGATTCTACGGCTTCATGTATTGAGCGCTTTTGGCGAGGTCGCTTTGGGTGGGGGGGTATATTTTTTATTCAGTAGACATACACAACTATTCAACAATAGCCAAATTATTCCAAAAAGTCAAAAAATTGTGTGGGGACGGCTTTATTGTTTTGCTTTCTGCGATTATTGGACATTTTTCGTCCAACATCCGCCTGTAGGAGGACACGCCCGACCTCAGATTATTTTCCTTTCCGATTTTCTCATTTGGGATACCTTGGAGGTCATTTCATTAGCAGGCTATGTTGCCAATGTAGCCCCCTTGGATGGGAGGCCGCCGTGGCTAACCGCTCATGCTGGGAGCCTTGCGCGTGCCATAACTGGGCGCCGAATTCAGTGCCTGCGTCGAATGCGCCCGACATGCGTGCGCGTGGATATTTAACCGCTGGTGTGGCAATACTGGTGTATTATGGTGACTACCGCAATGCGCACGTGCGTCACACTAATGATATTGATACGGTGTTCGTATGAATATTGGCAAGGAGAGAGAGAGAGAGAGAGAGAGACAGAGAGAGAGAGAGAGAGAGATAGAGAAAGAGAGAGAGAGAAAGAGAGAAAGAGAAAGCGTTAGAAAGTGAGGGCGCAAGGGAGGGTAGGGAGATGAAAACGGAGAGGGTTCACGCGCTCACCAGGCCATGAGCGGCCAGATTTGCGAATGCGCCTCGAGCATCCCTAGAGAGAACTCTCTGCCGCCGCCCCTGTGCTGCTCGAAGCTTACGAACTGTGCTGTGTTGAACTATGCTGAACAGTTCAACACAGCCACAGTTCAACACAGCCACAGTTGAACTGTGCTGAACTGTGCTGAACTGTGTTGAACTCTGCTGAACTGAGCACAGTTCTCTGCTGCTCGAAGCTTACGACTTTCGGCCTTCCGGTGGCAGGCCATGGAGGTGGACTCCTGGGCGTCCCCCCCCGCTGTGGTCATCGACATCGGCTCCGGCTACACCAAGATGGGCCCTGCCCCCAGCGGGCGCGGAGGTGCAGGCAGAGGGAGCCAGCAGCAGCATGGGGACGGGCGGTTGGGGGATGGTGCACAGTGGGAACGGATGGGGAGGAGAGAGGGGGCGGGGGGCAAGCCAGGTGCGCTCTCGTCATATCTGAGGTCCTACCCCTCCTTCTTATCCCTTATATACCATTGCGTAGAGCCCGAGCCCCCCTCTCTATTCGCACAGTTGGCTGTCGAAGAGGAGAATGATCCCCAAAGGGTACGCGATGCGTAGCATTTCATGGCATTGCATGGCGTAGGAGAGCGCGGTAGAGCGTAGCATTGTATAGCATGGTGTGGCATTGCGTAGCCAATCATCGCATGTCACCGCATTGCAGCGCAAGGCATGGAATCGTGTAGCGGTGCGCAAGATGGCGTTGCATTGCGCGTCATGGCACGGGACTGGACAGCGCCGCAGCGGGAGCATTTTGAATGCGAGGAAATGCGAATGACGCCAACGCTACAGCGGGAGCACCATTGAGAAAGTCTGAAAACGCAAACATGAGGCCAATGCTGCCTCGGGAGCAGCACTGTGGAATGACCGACCATGCGGGAAAGGGGCCAATTCTATAGCGGTAGCACCGTTTCGGAAGGACCGAGAACGTTCGGATTGGAGCAGCAAATAAGAATACCACTTTATGATAATCTGGTGCTTCACGTCTGCGGGGGAGATCAAAGTATTACGTATTCATTGTTTCCCAAGCGCCGCTTGCATTTGAGGTCATTTACCTGGGTAACTAGGAAATTGGATGGGTCCAGCGAGGTTTCGCCATATTGCCGCCCGCTGCCGTTTAGTTGCCGCCTCGTGCGCTGTGTAGGTCTGGCGAGGCTTCGCCGCCACGCTGATGCCTGTTGCCGCCTGGTTGTCGCCTCGTGGCCGCCTCGTGCGCTGGGTTTGCCGCCCGGTGCCTCCCCGTTGTCGCTTCGTGCGCTGGGCGTGTCCAGCGAGGTTTCACCATGTTGCCGTCCGTTCCGCTGCCGTCCCATGCGCTGGGTACCGTTCCGTTGGCGTCCTCGCGCTGGGTAGGTCTGATGATGTTTCGCCATGAAGCTGCCCGTTGCCACCTCGCTGCCGCCTCGTGCGCTGGATGGGTTCGGCGAGTTTTCGCCGCGTTGCCGCCCGTTGCCGCCTCGTTGCGGCCTCGTGCGATGGGCGGGCCTGGTGAGGTTTCGTCGCGTTGGCGCCTGTTGCCTCCTTGTTGTCGCCTCGTGCGCTGGGTGGGTCCTGCGAGGTTTAGCCACATTGCCGCCCGTTGCCCCCTCTTTGTCCCCTCGTTGCCGCTTTGTGCGCTGGGTTTGGTCCAGCGAGGTTTCGCCATGTTGCCGCCCGTTCCGCTTCGTTGCCGCCTCTAGCTGGCACCACGTTAATTACGACGTATACTGCACCGCATAGCTTTCACTACATACCTTGAACCACATAGTTTACACATCCACAGTGCAATACGTTACTGATTGGGGTCCACGCTGGAGGGGATGGGATGGAATTGTGGAGGGGATGGGATGGATGACAGATTAGGGTGGCAGGAGGGACGGATGTGCTTCTAGGCGGACGGTCGGGAAAGGGGGGAGGGGCGGCCAGGGGGGACATGAGAGAGGGCAGAAGTACAAGCTATCCGCGCTCGCGCCACTGCATATGGTCCAGGGCTTGGGCCCCCCCCCCCCCCCCAATGCTGATGCCATTGGGCCCCCCCCCCCCGCGCGATGGTCCCCCCCGCCCCCCCCTGTGGGCGTGGCGTGGTGCTGCGCTGCGGTGCCCCCCCCCCCCTGTGGATGTGGTGTGGTGCTGTGGTGGTTCAGAAGTGGGCGTGGCGTGGTGCTGCGCTGCGGTGCCCCCCTCCCCTCCCCTGTGGATGTGTGGATGTGGTGTGGTGCTGTGGTGGTTTAGAGGTCGTCGTCGTCGTCGTCGTCGTCCTCGTCGTCCTCGTCGTCCTCGTCGTCCTCGTCGTCGCCGTCGTCGTCGTCGTCGTCGTCGTCGTCGTCGTCATCGTCGTCGCCGTCGTCATCGTCGTCATCGTCGTCGTCGCCGCCGCCGCCGCCGGCGTCGTCGCCGCCGCAGCCGTCGTCGTCGTCGTCGTGGTCGTCGTCGTCGTCGTCGTCGTCGTCGTCGTCGTCGTCTCTGGGACCATACCATCTGGGGGGGGGGGCCTCGATGAATCCTGGGACCATACCATCTTGGGGGGGGGGCCCGTGAACCCTCGACCCTGGATCATATAAATACCCCTACCCTCCACCGCAGAGCTCCGACAGCCGGTCCATCCGGGCCCTCCATCCTAAGAGCGAAAAGCAACACAGAGCCGGCGTTACTGCTCTCAACAAGAGACGGTTTGTCGTCCCCGCTGCAGGCTGTGTGTCTGGAATGGGACGGGGCGCACGTTCCGCGACCCGATCCATTCGGGTGTTCCGTTTCTCCTCCTCCTCCTCCTCCTCCTCCTCCTCCTCCTCCTCCTCCTCCTCCTCCTCCTCCTCCTCCTCCTCCTCCTCCTCCTGTACAAACAAGTACAGCATCTACGTTTCTCCTCTCAGCGTGGACGTTCTGCCGTCGGCGTCGCAAACTGCGTGGCAGGAGTGGGACGCGCGTCGCACACGTCGCGCGAGAGGGCGAACATGACGCTGTGGCATCGGCGCCGCGCACACGTCTTCTGAGAGCTGCGTTCCCGCTCGGGTGCGGCGTGCGGTTCCCGTTCGCGCCCCGCGCCGAGCGGCGACGTGTTGCTCTCGCCTCGGCGTCGCGCACGTGCAGCACCTTGCTGTCGTCGATCGCCACATCGCGCATCAGACGCGCTGCTGCTCGCCCTGCTTACCCACACCTGCTGCGTATCCTTTAGACGAAGGGGCCGCCGCGCGCGAGGACACTCCGCGGGCTTCGGCGGGCGCGGGCGTCCAAGGGGCGAGCCCCACTCACGGGCCCGCCCCCGGGCCCGAAGACGGCACGCGGCGCGGGGTCCATGCACAGGATGGGGCCCAGAGCCTCCGGGGGGCGCAGCGGAGATCGTGCAAGGTCGAACGGTTCGAGTGGTGTCGGAAAGTATGGCTGGCGTCGTCGGGTCAGGAGGTCGCAGCACCCGATGCGCATCATCCAGCTACGTTCTCCGCGGCCCCGAGTCCATGGCCTCGGCGCCGCGCACACGGAGCACCTCGTTGTCGATCGGCCTCTCGCATGTCAGGCTCGCTGCCGCTCGAGCGGTTTGCCCACATCGGCGACGTCTCCTCGAGAAGAAGGCTGCCCTGCGTGAAGCCACTCCTCGGGCGTCGACCACCCGGGGGTCGGGGCCCGTCCTCGTGGGCCCTGGGGCCCTCGGAGACGGATTTGGGACGAAACGCTCTGGCCCGGAGGTGCCGCAGGCGTCCTGGACGGCCGCCAGAGGGCGTTCTGGCCCGACAGCCAGCGAAGTGCCACGACGGTGTTCGAGCCCACGTCTTCGAGGGTCGGGGTTCAAGGCTCTCGTGCACTCGAGGGCCCCTTCGTCGCCACGGCTGGACGCGTCTTTAGGCACTGCTGCGATCGGAGCTCTGTTTGAACCCCTGGATGGGGAGGAGCTCATGGTCAGGGTTGCGCTCTCGCCTTCCTGCTTGCGTTGGCAGGGCGCCGCTCACGCCTTCAGTACAGACAGTGCTTCCTATGATGTGGGAGGGCTGGGTTGAACGTGCATGCCATGCTCGTGCGCTCGAGCTGGCTAGCTTGATCTGCTATTCTACCCTTCCCACCCATCCCTTTCCTATCTGCGGACGCGTGTCATAGCGGACCTGGATTGCAAACAGGACCTCATAGTGTTCTGCGCAGTCGGAAACGTGGGAGTTGCACACGTAAGAGAAGGGAGAGGCAGAGGAGGAGGTGGCGGACGAGCAGGAGGATGAGCAGGAGGAGAAGGAGCAAGGAGGAGGACGAGGAAGAACAGTAGCAGCGGGAACTGAAGTGGCAGGAGCGGGCCCAGCAGGAGGACCAGGGAAAGCGGAGGAGGGGAAAGGAGATGGGCGACAATAGTGAGGAAGGAGTCGGATCCAGAAGTGTCGACCGTGCTGGGGCGAGAGCGCCATTCTGAAGGACGGGAGCCAAGCGCCGATCCTAAGACGAGGCCAGCGCTGCAGCGGCTGCACCATGTTGAGACACCGGAAGCGTTCGGACTGAGTAAACTCATGGGAAAGACCGGATGATCAAATCTTGTGTGTGAAGGACTAAACGTGTGAGGGGCGTTGCGCGGGCTATTGCCCGGCCATCTTCGGGTGAGAGAGCATAGTCGAATACTATCCACGTTGCGTAAGTTGTGAAGGGGGCAGTGAGGTCTCAGTCAGGAGACACAGGCGGGGGAGGACGGAGAGGAGGGCCGAGAACCCCTGACTCGACACCGGCGTGGCGCCGCACGCCGCAGGGCCTCGCCCGCCCGATACCAGTACCCCCCCTGCAAAAGCTGTGCAACCCTCTTGCCCCCGGGAACCCAAGGGGTATAGCTGGGACGCCCCAAACCGCCCCGATTTTGTTTGGCGATGTTGTGGCCTGTTTGCGTTTCGAGGTTTCGTTTTGCAGCGACGGCGGAGCGAAGACAGACCGGTGGACAACGAAAATAAAACGACCACGGAATCCACTGCTTGGATCGAGCCCTGCTCCTCCTCGAAATACTGTTACGCCTGTGCGCACAAGACGCGCGCCACTCGCCGATTTGTGTGGGGAGCACTTCGCCCCGGGGTCACGTTTACCTGCTCCAGTGTCGTCACCCGGACGATCATCCGGTGCTGCGTGCGGTCTTGCAGTCGTCTTCTTCGGATCTACGTCCGCTGGCCGGCAGGTGCTGCCGGGTTAGGCCGAAGCAGTCTTGGACAAATGAGGTGTATAAGCTTTCTAAAAGAGTGTGTGCGATTTGTTCGCATGACGTTCGACAGCTCGCGGCTGTCCCAGCAGAAGCCTGGAAAGCCGCTGTGCGGCACTACTGCCCCGGCCCCTAGTGTTGCATCACTGCCCGTGTGCTCCGACACGCGGCTTTCGTTCATTCAGTGCCGTCACCCAGCGGTTGCGCAGTGCTTGTCGCCGTGGATCCCCCCCACCCCGATAGTCCCCATCCCCATTGGGCCATGGTAGTTCAGCCCCATCATCCCACCCTCCCAGTAGGGTGTGTGCCCTGCGAAACCCTGAGGGAGCAGCACACACATGCACACGCATACGTGTATGTATGTATGTCTGTGTGTATATATGTATTTATGTATGTATGTACGTATGCATGTATGTACGGATGTATGTATGTATGTATGTAGGTAGGTAGGTAGGTCATGTATGTATGTATGCATGTATGTAGGTAGGTAGGTAGGTAGGTAGGGAGGTATGTAGGTATGTAGGTAGGTATGTAGGTAGGTATGTAGGTAGGTAGGTGGGTAGGTAGGTAGGTAGGTATGCGCGTATGCATTTATGTAATGTAATGACATGTAATATAATGTGATGTATTGTGATGTGATACCATGTGATGTAATGCAATGTGATGTAATGTTGTGTATGTATGTAATGTATGTAATGTATGCATGTATGTATGTGTGTATGTATGCATGCATGCATGTATGTATGTATGTATGCGTATGTATGTATGTATGTATGCATGTATGTATGTATGTATGCATGTATGCATGTATGCATGTATGCATGTATGTATGTATGTATGTATGTGTGTATGTATGTATGTATGTATGTATGTATGTATGTATGTATGTATATATATATATATATGTATATGTGCATATGTATGTATGTATGTATGTCTGTATGTATGAATGTATGAATGCATGCGTGTATATATGTATGCATACATGCATGCATGCATGTTTGTATGTATGTATGTCTGCATGCATGCATGCATGCATGTATGTATGCATGTATGTATGCATGCATATATATATGTATGCATGTAAGTATGTATGTATGTATGTATGTATGTATGTATGTATGTATGTATATATGTATACGCATCCATGCATGTAAGTATGTATGTATGTATGTATGTATGTATGTATGTATGTATGTATGTTTGTATTTAGGTATATATGTATGTATGCATGCATGTATGTATGTTTGTATGCATGTATGTATGTTTGTATGTATGTATGTATGTATGTATGTATGTATGTATGTATGTATTTGTATATATATATATATATATGTATATACATGCATGCATGCATGCATGCATGTATGTATGCATGCATGCATGTATGTATGTATGTGTTTGTATATATATATATATGTATTCCCATCTAGGTATCTAGGTGGCAAATGGGCCCGCAGGACCGAGCCCACGCCAGTGAGCGTAGGGATCGGTTCAACGAGGCTCAGATCCTCGATCGTCGACGACCGCGCCGACGAAGGTCGGCAGCGGGCGCCCGGGGGGAAGCGAGAGGCGGGCCTTCCCAGAAGGCTCGGAAGTCCCCGGCCTTCTGGGAAATGTTCGAAGCCTTCCCCGAACCCTGAGGTCCTGGCGTCTCAATTTTTTCGAGCCGGGCGTCTTCGCTTTTCTTCGGGCCCCGGGACCCTCACAGATCGATCCGGCTCGAAAAAGGGCGCAGACAGATGGGGTCTAGGACTCTGGGCGTGATTTTTCATGATGTTGCAATTTTTCAGCTACGTCGGATCTCAGGGAAGACGCAGAAAACCTCGCACAAGGCCAGCGGCATTCTGACAAGTTTCGCCGCCTTCTGAGGAGGCCTTCCCCTTCTCACTTCCCCCCCCTTCAGTCGCCGCGGATCTGTAGCTGGTTTCCGCGGGCGATGTTTCTCCCCCAATCCCCGAGTTCCGCCTGAAAAGTTTGACCGCTCAGAACAGGGGGGAAACCCTGGGTACACCCCGAGGGGGCTATTCGGACGCACCCCTATCGAGGATGGACGTCCCCGATCCTATCCTATATATATATATATATATGTATCCCAGGTTTAGGCCCCAAACTTCTGGGCCACTCGAAGACCCCACGACGCCTGGCATACAGTCGGACCGAGGTATAAGATCGAGGTCAATTCGGGGAGGGTACCCTGGTGTTCTTCGTGTTTGTTGGACGTTCGTGTGCATCGAGGGAGGCTACCCTTGGATGTTCTGTGTGTAGTGGCCAGCGGAGGGCCTAATGTTCTTGAAGGTTGTTCGTTCTTCTGTCCTAGGTCCGACAGTAAGGTTAAAAAGTCCAGGGTTCGCTAAGGATTCGTCTCCTTTCAAAACGGCCGAAACCCTCCCGAAACCCTGCGAAAACCTTCCGGGAAGGGTTCCAAAGAGCTTTTCGGAGGGTCCTGTGGGGGGGTTTTGGAAGGGTTTTTTCGTCGTGTTGGAGGGAAGCCAGTCCCTAGCGAACCCTGGGTTTTCTAATTGTAGTCGGCGTCACCCCAACAAAACATACGAATACTATGTGTGCGTCGCCCCCCCAGGGGCGACGCGCCCAACGACAAATCTTATGGTATATGCGTCGTGGCGGGCGCTTTCTGGCCACACCGCCCGGGAAACGGTATGCTACAAGATGGGTGTACTATATGTTCGGGTCGGACGCGCGACTCCAAGGAGGACATTCAAGTATCAGTACGTCTCTGTGCGTCCAACGTAGGGGTCGACTGAAGTCGGGCCTGTCCCTCTACAGGGGGAGTATTCAATAGTGAAAATAGTCAGGGGACGATCTTTTGACAATTTTTTTGAATATTCTTGGTGTATTTATCGAATATTCTTAATTTCTTGCAAGATCCGCCTGTAGGGGGACAGACCCGACCTAATGCTAAGGAGCCTTCCCCCCTCCCCTACCCCCTTGTGGCGCGCCCTTTTTCTATCTCCCTCTTTGTATTTTTCTGTCTTCGAAGCTTTCGCTCGGCACCTCACCAACTTGCCTCTTCCTTTCTTGCCGTCTTGAGTCTCTTGCAGCTGCTGTTGAGGTGCCGGTCACAGTGCCGCTGCCGCAGCCTGCCGCCCGCCGCTCTGCAGAGACAGGACGGGAGCTGCAGGCCCACAGGCCCTCCCCGCCTGCCCTTGGGGTCGGGCATGTCCTGCTACAGGCGGACTCTGGAAGCCAAAAACTGACGGACAAGTGCCCCAAAACGGATCAGAAGTAGTACACAAATTGGGGAACCGAACTCTACAATATACACCGACTCTTTTTCCTGCCGCACTGAAAACGCGCACAGGAAAGCGGATCCTGATGTATACGGGATCTTGGTGTACACACGTTTCGTTGTTTCTCTTTAGGAAAGTGGGAACAAAGTATACGCCACACCACCCCAGCGTCGTCCTCGACCCTCCAGAAGCCCTGGTACTGAAAAAACAGCCCGCCACTGGTCATGTGTGCGTCCCAGTTTCCGACAAACCGTCCCCAGACTTAGGGGAACAACAAGTGGCATAAACATAAAAACTCGGCGGTCCGCGCGGATTTCTCGGATCGGCGCTGGGGCCCCCCGGCGGCGCCTCCGGCGCCGCCCCTGGCGCGCTCCGCGCGCCAGGGAGGGGGCCCCAGCGCCGATCCGAGCAATCCACGCGGACCTCCCCGAGTTTTTATGTTTATCAGGGGGCCACATGCGAACCCTACCCCACCCTCCCCCTCAGAAATCGTGTGGGGGGTAGGGGTAGGGTTCGCATGTGGCTCCAATTTATGCCACTTCCTGTTCCCATAAGAGACTACTTTTTCACTGCTCTGGAACATCCCTCTCGTGGGGGGCCGCGCCCGCCTCCGCCCCGCCCCCCCGGGTGCGCGCCGCCCGCTCCCGCGGGCGCCGGCCCCCCGAGGCTTTGCGGGGAACATCGAGCCGCAGCTCGTGGTGCCGACCTGCGTCGCGAACTCCGCGAAGAAGGCCCCGAGGGCGGGAGGCTCGGGAGCCGGGAGAGGTGCTCCCCGGAGATGCCGACGCGTTGAAGAAATCAAGGGCGGAGGTTTTTCCAAGTTTTTTGGGCCTCTAGGGGCCCTCGCCTAGGTTTTTCATATTTTTGGGCGGAGGTTTTTCCTAGGTTTCCCTAGTTTTTTAGGCCTTTAGGGGCCCTCGCCGGGCCCCAGGGCCGTCAAAGAACGGCTCGGGATGAAAAACCGGTCCTGGGGAATGGGTCGAGACTTCCGGGGACCGCGCATTGACAGCATCACGACGTCGGATCTTTGGGCCCTACCACCCTACTGCTGCCCCCGCATCGTTCTCCCCCTTTTTTGGGCCTCCTGGCGGGCCCTCGCCGCCGCCGCTGGATCCGCATCGAAGTGCTGGTCAGCACGCCCCCCGGGAGAGGCCTGGGGAGCTGCGGTCTCCCCAGGGCCGGTGGTCCTGCGGCCGAGCACCGCTCGCGGCCTCGTTCGGGGCCCTTCTCCTGGGTTTGGGGACAGCCAGCCGGCCCCAAGACGGCCCAAGAGGCCTCGGAGATGCCCAAAATGGCCTCCAAGACGGCCCTGGAGCACCCCAAGAGGGCCCAAGTCGGCCCAGAGAGGCCTCCAAAACGGCTTCCGACGGCGTCAGACGGGCCAGGAATTTCCTAAGACGGCCGAAGAGGCCCCCGAGAGATCCCCAAAGGTCCCCAACAGGTCCAAGGAGGCCCCCAAGATGCCTCCAAGAGGCTCCCTGGAAGCTCACAGGATGCCCCAAGAGTGCGCCCAGAGGCTCCCTGGGACCGCGGGACCCCCCGGGATCCAGGACCCATTGTCATCAGGACCCCTTTGCCCTAATGCCAGGGAGACGAGTGGAGAGGAGCGTGGAGGAGGATGGAGGTGCAGCGCATGATGTCCGCAAAGTTGCATGTGCGCAGGTGTGGTGCCACTAGTTTGATGGCCTTGAGCCCGCGGCTGCAATTTGCGCTGCGGCCACCATCGGCTCAATTCTGTCTTTTAAAGTTGCTCATCGTAATTGCAAACATCGGCAGCGGGAGCAGGGCGTATACAGATCGTACCATAGCACCTATTCATTACGGTGGTAGAAGCCAATCTGGAAGCGCGTGTTTTATGAGTCATCTGGGTTCTTGCGCTGAAGCTTTGAGATAATGAGCGTTGCATGCTGTGCGTGAATGTCTTGCTAGGGGCGGGTGGAGAAGGGCACTACAAACTTGACCTGGGGCAGTGGCTGGTTTTGACTTTCCAGAAATGCCTAGCGATCCCGCTTCGGGCCAGAACCCATTGAACTCCTTGCTCTTTTCCGCCTGGGGGCAACGACGACTCGCGGTTGCTGCTCTTCAGCGCCCTGCTTTCCCGCCTGCTTCATTCGCGTTTTCCCTCACACAGTACTTTCGCTTAGAGGTTCTTGCTTCGTTGTCTGAAGGAACTGAGCCTGGGTGCTGGTCTGGCGGCTCGGTGGTCGCCGTCGCCGCCCCGTCGCCGCCTCGTCGCCGCCCGTCGTCTGGGCCTGGGTGCCAGTCTGGCGGCTCCGTGGTCGCCGTTGCCGCCCCGTCGCCGCCGCGTCGCTGCCCGTCTTCTAGGCCGGGTGCCGGTCTGGCGGTTCTGTGGTCGCCGTCGCCGCCTCGTCGCCGCCCTGTCGTCGCTCTAGATTCTCATTTCTAAAACAGAATAGGATCTACCCCCCCCTCCGGCGTTATCGGTACCCCTTTCGGGTATGTAAATCATGTATGATTATGACCACATGTCCATCCAAAAAATGAATTTACACTATCCCAGGCCAGCCGGGCGGTATCACCCCTTCTGAGGTTTCCTAGTACAAAAACACTATGCGGTGACATGTTTCTTCTAACATAGCACTTTTTCGCGAATTTCTTGCAACAAATTGGACGAAGTGCACACGCGCGCGTCGTCGCGCGCGCATGCCGAAATCCTTCAAACACCTTCGGTGCCGGAAGGATTTCGCAATCGAGTTTCCAAAACACATACAAAAACACAGGGTTTCGCAACACTGATTTGCTAAAAAAGCTTCCGCGCGAGCTCTTGCGAAATCTTAAGAAGACCGTAGGTTTTTCAAGATTTTCACAACATGCTATTAAACGGGCTTCGCGCGCGCGCATGTCGAAATCTGTCGAACGCCCTTGCGCGTGTGCCGTCGCGGGAATCCTCTGCAAAAATGGGACGAAATGCAGACGCGCGCGCCGTCGCGGGCGTATGCCGAAAATCTTCCAAACCCATCGGTTTCGGAAGGATATCAAAATCGTGTGTCCAAACAACCTACAAAAGCCCAAGGTTTCGCAACACGGATTTTCAACAAAAGCGTGCGCGCGCGCGCTCTGGCGTCGTCGTCGTCGTCGTCGTCGTCGTCGTCGCCGTCCTCCCTCCTCCCGCGTTGTCGTCGTCGTCGCCTACGTCGTCCTCTGTCTTTCCTCGTGTTCGTCGTCGTCGTCGTCCTCTTTGGCGTCGTGGTCGTTTCCGTCGTCGTTGTCGCCGTGGTCGTCCTTCCTTTTCCTCCTCCTTCCTCGTCGTCGTCGTCGTCCGTCGTCGGCGTCTCGTCGTCGTCCCTCCTATTTCGTCGCCGTCGTCGTCGTCGTCGTCGTCGTTGTCGTCGTCTTCCCTCCTCCCTCGTCGTTGTCGTCGTCGGCGTCGCCGTCCTTCCTCCTTCCTCGTCGTTCGCGTCGTCGCCGTCCTCCCTCCTCCCTCGTCGTTGTCGTCGTTGTCGCCGTCGTCGTCCTTCCTCCTCCCTCGTCGTCGTCTTCGTTGGCGTCTCAAGCCTCCGCGGCTCGGGGAGGGGGGCCGCCTGCGCATCCCCCCCGAGCGCGTGGGCCCGGCGCTGGACCATGTATTGTGCGGCTTGAGAGCGGCCGCGAGAAGTTCGTCGTGGCCGTTAAGACCGGGCTTATTGGCAGGAGTACTCGATCTTCGGCAAGTGCATTCGCATTTTCATCCCCGATTACCTGGTGACCTCGGACTTGCTGGACCGAGTCAGTCATGTCACCTTCGAGGCAGATGTCATCATCATCTCCTCCCTCGACGCCGCCGGCGTTTTGGATGGGCTCCAACACCGTCCTGATGAGGCCAGTGCACGGCGGCTTCGTGAAGCTCCCGCGGCCGCCTCCGCCGCCCTGGAGGGTGCCTGGCGTCCCCCCGGTACTTGGTGGAGCGGCAATGGGACGTATGCCCCGCCCACCTGCGCCGCCTTCGAGCGCGGGTCCTGGCAGCGCCGGTCGTGGTCATGTCCACCTGAGTTGCGTGGGGCCGGTGGGGGCCATGCTTTCTTCCCTGCAGTCGCCGCATCTCATGGCGAAGGAGAAGCAGAAGAAGAAGAAGAAGAAGCCGAAGAAGAATAAGTACAACAAGCCGAAGCAGTACAAGCAGCAGAAGAAGGTGCGCAAGCTGCGGTGGAAGAAGCGGACGGCGACGACCTCAACGGGGTTGCCGCGCCGGCCGCCGACGCCTCCGCCGCCGGGGTCATTTCACCTCGAGTGCCCGAGCCCGGAGGACCCGTACAGGAAGCAGATCGGGGTGACGGGGCTGGCCGTACCTCCTGCGCCGCCGCGTGCGACTCCACCGAGGCCTCCGCCGCCTCCTTCGGCGCGCAGGCCGCGGACGCCTCCGAAGCGCGTGCCAGCGTGGAGGAGTTCTGGATAGGCGACCTGCCGCCGCGCGCCGTGGAGGCCAAGCGGAAGAAGAGGGCGAAGAAGAATATTGAGAAGAAGGAGGGGCAGAAGCTGCTGAATGATGCTGTAGATTTTTCGAGTGCGGATTCGCACTCCAGCGCCGGGACACCTCCCCCTGATGCTCGCGGAGATTTCGTGCAGGCCGATGCCGAAGGCAGCGATGCCCTTCGTGGCACTGGTGATGGCGGCGCCGCGTCTGAGGAAGCCACCGGGAGCACCATGGCGGTTACGACGAATCTGTCGCATTTGATGCCCGTGCGCACCTCTGTGGAGGAGGAGTTGTCCTTTCTCGGGCAGGACCGGCTGGCGAAGCTGCGTGCGTTCGGACATGTCGTCTGAGGAGCTTGGCGGCTTCTTCGGCGAGTCTTTCGTCTCGCTGGAGCCGGCTTCATCATCGAGCAGGGCCTCGTGTGCCCGTTTCCTGAGCTGGGCCGTCTGCGCCCTCGCTGCACCGCTGGTCGGCTCGGAATGCTGGTCTTCTCGTGCCGTGCGTGCCGCTGTGCCGTGCCTTCGGGGCCGACTTGGGCGCCCCTACCTGCGGACTTCCGTGGAGGGAGCTCGTGGGGCTGCGTGGTGTGTCGTCCCTCGTCGGGCGGTGGCCGTTTTCGGGGCCGTTTTGGGGTCCTCGTCGCCGCCTCTTTCATCCCTGCTCTTCAGTCCCTAGTTCGCTCGGAGCCTGGAGCTTGCAGTGGTCGACCGTGTTCGTCTTCGTTGGCGTCGTCGTCGTCTTCGTCGTCGTCGGCGTCGGCGTCGTTGTCGTCGCCGAAGTCGTCGGAGACGTCGTTTGTGTCGTCGTCGTCGTTGTCGTCGGTGTCGTCGTAGTCGGTCTTAAGAGGTTTTGCAAACCAAGTTGCGGGTGGGTGGGTGGGATGTTTGCGCGAGCAGTGGAGATGACTACTTCAAGTTCAGCAGAGTGGATTGCACAACATAGATTGTACCGAGTAGATTGTAACGCGCAGGTTGTACCCCCTCTATTGCGCCGCATGGAGTCCACCACATACATTGCACAAACACGGTGCGCCGCGTAGATGGCATCACATGGATATACACATACACACATCGATACATGTATATGTATATATGTATGTACATGTCTATGCATATGTGTATGCACGAATGTGTTCATGTATGCATGTATGCATGTACGTATATATGTACATAGGTATGTATGTAGGTATGCATGCATGCATGTTTGCATGCATGTATGCATGTATGATATGTATGCATGTATGCGTGCATGTGTGTATGTACGTCTGCATATATGCATGTATGTATGCATGTATGCATGCATATACGTCTGGCTGTATGTATGTGTATGTGTATGTGTATGCGTGTATGTATGCATGCATGCATTCATGCATGTGTGTATGTATGCATGCATGCATGCAGTCATATATTCTATGTGTGCATGTATGTATGGATGTATATATGTATGTATGCATGCATGCGTTTTGTCTGGTTCAGTTTCTCGAGTTGTCTCGAGACCGTTTTTTTACCCCCTGGTGCAACCAAGCGTGACTGGCGGGGGTGTGGGGGGGGTAGGGGGGCTGGTCACGTCAACATTCGCGCTGGCGCCCGCTGGAAGCGGCATTCCCAGACAGCGCTGGCGCGAATCGTGACGTTACCACGGCGGGGTGGGGGGCCAGGGCGGCGGGTCCGGTCACGGGCGTCACCGCGAATAATGGGTACTCGACGTGGAGATCCTCAATACGTGGATCTCATTTTCCTGGCACGTCTGGCCGAGGGCGCTTGTCTGCGAATTTCTGGGTGTGAGCGCTAGTCCGACGACGGGCTCGACGACGACGACGGTGGCGGCTTCAGTGGGAGTCAGCGTCAGAAGGAGTGAATGCTGAGACCAGGTGCGCGCTCGAGACATCCTCACAATCGGCTCTGAAAGCAGACGAGTCTGGGCATCCCAAAGAACAAACCGTCTGAGGTAACCCCGCAATCTGGCTGCGAACGGGTCCGTGCAAACACTGGCGGCTCGCCAAGAGGGAAAGTTGAAAACAGCGCGCGCTCGAGACAGCCTCACACTCTTCCCTGAAAGCAGACGAGTCTGGGCACGCAAACGGAGAGACCTCCTGAGACATCCCCGCAATCTGGGGGCGAACAGGCCCGTGCAAACACCCTTGCGGCTCCCCCACTGCAAGTGCTAAAATCAGCGCTTCGCTCGAGACATGCTCGCACTCTGCCCTGAGCACCCGAACAAGCAAACCGTTTGAGACATCTCCACAAGCTGGGCGCGAAGGGCTCCGTGCAAACACCCTGGCGGTTCCCCCCACTGGAAGTGCTAAAGCCAGCGCCTCGCCTGAGACATCCTCGCAAGATTGCGAGTATGAGTGACATCTAGTAATGAGGGTGAGTGCGAGCCTCAGTGGGCTAGGTTCTGAGTATGAGCGAGTCTGAGTATGAGGGTGGGTAAGTCTGAGCGTGAGTGAGTGCGAGTACGAGCACGTCAAATTGTGAATGAGTCTGAGTGTGGGTGAGTGTGGCTGTGAGCGAGTCTGAGTGTGCGTGGGACTGAGCGTGAGTGAGTCTGAGTTTGAGTGACTCTGAATCGAGTGAGTCTGAGTATGAGTAAGTCAGAGTAAGTGAGGGAGAAACATAAGTGGGTCTTGCTAAAGGAGAAAGGAGAGGAGGGATTGAGGGCCCCTCGGGCTGTCCTGGAGCTATCTTGGAGACCACTTGGAGGCTTCTTGGGCCGTCTCGGGCGGTCGGAATCCCGAATAGGCGAGAACCTCTAATCTTTCGAACACATGAGGCATATCAATGGTCGTCATCTCCTCGGGCTCTCCAGGAAAGCCTCTTGAAGACCTCTTTGGGCTCCCCCGGGGACTTCTTGTTCTGTATCGAGGCTGTTGAGGGAGCCTCTTGGGCCGTCTTGGGCCATCTTTGGCCATCTTGTCGTCATCTTGGTTGCCTTCCGTCCTCGAGGCCATGATGCTCCCAAGAAGGCCTCAAGACAGATCAAGAGGCCCCCAAAGACAGCACGAGAGGTCTCCAAGAGGCCCTCCAGGAATCCGAGGACGTCAACGATTGATTTTTCCGATGTGTTTTACACTTTGTGAGGTGGAAGGGCGAGGAACGCAACAGTTGTACAGCTAGAGTCCGCCCAAAACAGAGGAGGAGGAGAAGGAGGAGGAGGATGAGCAGGAGGAGAAGGACCAGGAGGAATAATGCGAATAATAAGCACTATAGTATTGCTATTACTGATAAGGCATATATGCATAATCAGAATAATCGTACGACTTAAGAATAACATAATAACATGAATCATACTAAGACATACTAGCCATACACATAATAATAGTTATAAGAAGAGGAGGAGGAGGCGGAGGAGGAGGAGGAGGAGGAGGAGGAGTCAGCCCCCGATGGGGTGACGAAATGCTGCTCTCTGGCCAAGCCAACCCAGGAGCTGTGTATACGCCCAGGAAGGCGTGGCGGCCCTGTCAGAGCCACGAGGTGGAGGAGGTGGAGGAGGAGGAGGAGGTTGAGGAGGAGGAGGAGGAGGAGGAGGAGGAGGAGGAGGAGGAGCAGGAGGAGGGAGGGAGGAGGAGCGGGAGGCTCCCGACGAGAGGGTCGGGCCGCCCCGTGCCAGGGCGGCGCGGTGCACATCAGCCACCAGGCGCAGGCCACGCCGGCGGAGTACGACTACTACATCGGTGTGCCCCGTTCCTCTTTGGGTGCGTGCTGCTCGGGCTGGATCTCGCCACCCACCAAAGCCACCCCAGCCCATCCCGCGGTCCCCCAATGTGCCCTCCATTCTCAGTGGGGGGAGGGGGGGCGTCGGGCAGCATGGAAGAAGATACTTATGGAACCGATACCCTCCCCCAAACCGCATTTTGGGTCTTCGGGTTGGGTTGGGGTGGTGTGGTGGGTAATCCGTACTTTTTCCATAATGCTCGGGCTGAATCGCCAACTTCCCCCAAGACAAGCTCGAACGCTCAGCGCCACGGCGCCACCGCTCCGTTCCAAGAGGACCGCGCCCGGTCGAGGGGTCGTCCACGTGAGGAAACATCACTACTTCAGGCTGTGCCGTCGACGTTTACTTGGTCTTTTTCGAGGTGTTGTTTGGGCGTTTCGACGGAGTCTCGTCGCCACGACTGGACGCGGCTCGAAAAGCTGGCCATGCAGGACTGGCCTAGGCATGGGTCTGGTGCAGGCCTCCCAAATTGGATCCCAGTTTCTGGGGTCGGATGATCGCGCCGCATCGCCGATGCATCGGCGGTGCAGCTCGATGTGGAGCCCGAGTTTCTGAACAGCCGACGGCGCCGATGCGGTGCGATCTCCCGAGCCTTTTTCTAAGATTACCATTGCATCCCTGCCCCTCCTGCCCGTTGCTAAAGGTGTTAAAACAATTTTTTTTTTTTTTTTGTTCTCTCTCTCTCTCTCTCTCCAATACCTCTCCAAGACTTCGAGGGTAGCCAAAGGTGCCCTTGCGTCCTGATCGTGCGTCCTTCTTATGCGGGTTGACTGCACTCGGCCTCCATTTTGGCGGCCTCTTAGGGAGCCGCCCCGTGGCAGAGGTCCTGCAGGCCGCAGCAGGCCGAGGGCGGGTGCCAGGCGACGGGCCACCGCGACCAGAGGGCGCCGCGGGAGGGGCTCTTTTCGATTCCTTCGGTTCGATTCGGTTCGATTTGGCTTCCAATTCCGATTCGATTCGAGTTCGGATTCCGATGTGGAGTCGAGTTTCGCCATGGAGGCCTGCTGGCCTGCTGATTTCCGCCGGTTCGACTCCTCCCGACTCGGCTGCCAATTTCCGCCGACCCGGTTCGTTTCGATCGCCGACCCGACTCGGCCGCCGATTTCCGCCGACCCGATTCGTTTCGATCGCCGATCCGACTCATCGATTCGATTCTGGGCTCTCCTGGAGGTTGGGGGGGGGGGCACGGGCGGTCGGAGCCCCTGGAGGGGGGGGGGGAAAGTGAGGAAAGGGAGGAGGGGTAGGAGGAGATGAGAGAGATGCACGCAGCTCGTGCAGCGCGCGGCGCTGTCCTCCGACACCGCCTGCCCGGACCCCTTTGCGGGAGCCCCCCCCCGTCCGGGGGCCCGGCTCGAGCGGGTGTGCGGAGCCGCCCTCCGTGGCCGGAAGAGGCGGGGTCGAGAACGAGGGGCGCCGCCGAGTTTCAGGAAGTGTGGCACATCCCACGCGTTTTTGGACCCCGACCCCGCCGAGCTGCGCGAGGGGTGTCCAGTTCGCACCCCCCCCAGACATTCTAAGAAGCCTCCCAGGAGGTGCCAACCAGGGTGCTGTTCGGCTCCCCCCCTCCTCGCGCGGTCTGCAACCAGGAACGGTAAGCAGCATACATAAGCAGCATGAAGCAGAACTGTAACAGTGGAAGCTGGAAGCTGGAACTGGTGCAGGGAACAGCAAACCCTGGTCCTACAGCCCGGTGGCCCCACGAGGGGGCTGGGATCCCCCCCACTGGGCTCTGCTCCAATTTCGGCCTCCAGGGGCCGTTTTCGGGCCCCAGGACCCCCGAAACTCGATCCTGCGTGCACAGCCGCGTCGGATAGACGCCGGGAGGGATCCAGGGACCCATTTTGACAGACATTCGGCGGCACGCCCAGGGGGTGAGGTGAGAAGGAACGCGGCGGGACTTCTCAGAAGCCCGCTCGCCTTCTCAGAAGTCTTCTGTGTCTTCGGGGAAGGTTCAGAACTCTTCTCCGAAGACCGGGGACTTCTGAGCCTTCTGAGAAGGCCTTCCCCTTCCCACTTCTCTTTCGCATTCTCACTTCCCCCTCTTCACTTTCCCCCTGAGCCTGCTCCAGACAATTGCATCCGAATCGTGGGGAACAGGAACGCAGCGCGCCCATGTGCACTCATGTGCAAGACATGTGACGTCGTGGTTTCACGATTGCGCCGCCCGGCTTGCCAGCGTGATGCTGTGCCCGCTCCCCCCCCTCCTCCTCCTCCGTTGCCTCGTCCTGGCGGCCTCTCGTGTGACGCTCCCGGGCTGTCCAGCGGTCTGCGGTCTCACGGCGCAGAGCAAGCTGCGCGCGGGTCTTTGTTGTGGAGAGGAATAATATCTCCCCCCCCCCTGGCTCGCCGCCGACCATGGGTCTCCTCGTCGTCGCTGCGGGGTCCGGGCACTGCAGCGTGCATCTGGGGGCCTCCCGCTCGGGCCACTCGGGCCTGCCGCTCGTGTTTTCCTCGGGCTCCTCCCAGAGGGCGGGGAGGTCTTGGCGGCGTCCCCGCGCCCAGAGTGCAGCCTCTCATCGGGATGCCATTCCTGGGAGGTTAGCTTCAGCAGCGGTGCTAGTACATCCCTGGTCGGGAACGTGTCTAATCCGACGTAGTCCCGCCTAGTTCCGCGTAGTCCCGATGAATGCGGCTTGATCGGGCTGAATCTTGGGCTTACTCCGGGCTGGTCTTACTTAGTCGCCCTTCGATCGGGCTTAGTAGCTGATATTCACGAGAAGCTCCCAGGAGTTGCCTCCTGACAAAGTGCAGTCCTACACGGTGCAGAGGTACGTCGAAATTCCAGGGTTAACTTATTGTGGGCGTCCCTTTGAATCCAATCTCGCAGCCACCCCTGGAATCTCAAGAATACTGCTTGCAGCGTTCCAGAAATCGGTAGAGAGAGAACGAGAGACAGATAGAGAGAAAGGAAGAGAGAACGAGTGAGAGAGTGGCACAACTAATCAATACGACAATCATCTCTCTCTCTATATATATATATATATACATATACCTATACGACCACCCTTCGGGTGATAAGGAGGTTTGGGGGGGGGGAACCAACGTCTCACTCGATCGGTCTCACTATCGATATCACTATCGATCTCACTATCGGTCTCGCTCGATCGATCTCACTCGATCGATCTCACAATCGATCTCACTCGATCTATTTCATTCGATCGATCTCACAACCGATCTG